CTTACTGCGGCCTCATTCTGCGGAGGTCCTTCTTCCTACGTGTCTGCGTCCGTTTCCCCGGCGCGTTCCTCCGCGCGTTGTTTTCTCGAGCGGCCGGACGCGCGCGGGGAAATATTTAAAAGTCGCACGCCGCGCGATGTTTGTCAACGTGGACGAAAACGCGCGCGCGTGTTTAGCAAAGCACCGTGACGAAAAGTTGAAAGTCGCCTCGAATTGTCGCGGCGGCCGGACAGACGGAAGATTTTTCGCGCGATTTTTCGCGAGATTTTGCTCGCAGAACGAGGCCGCGGAATAAATATCCGCGCGGCCGTTCATTAGCGGATCGATACCTGATCAATCTGTCGGATGCATTTCACGATGAGGAATGAGGAATTCAGCGATCCGCAGCGCGACGACGCGCGGGACTGTGCGGCTTTTATTGACTCTCATCTCGGTGCTCACCGTCGTCGTCGTCGCGCGAACGTGTAATCGTTACGTAAACGCGAATCGTGGTGTGTACGGAAACTGGAACGGGGAGATTAATAATGAAACAAGAGAATCTCGCTTGCTCTCGTGCCTGTCCCACGGAAGGAGATATTATTTTGTTTAACGTCCAACGGGGAACGTTGCGCTCGTGTTTGCGCGCTGGAGAAGTTAACACGACAAAATGCGATCCGACTCGATTCGAATCGTTTCGAGAAAGCGAGCGAGTGCATTATCTCGTCGCAGAATAGAAATTTATGTCTCTCTCTCTCTCTCTCTCTCTCCCCCTCCCTCTCTCTCTCTCTCTCTCTCTCTCCCCCTCTCTCTCTCTCTCTCCTTGTAGCCACAAAAAGGCGCGTCGACGTTATCGGAACGCGTCGCCGATTGACACTATTTCTCGCGCGCCGAACATTTCTCGGACGAACGTTTCTCGTCCGCCCCGGCCCCTCCTGAGCGATTCATTTCACGGTGGACAAAGAGTCGTGCCATTGTGCTCTCGTTTCATGCCGGCGGTAGAGACCCGTAGCGAAAATAGAACCTAACCCAAATAAACAGTGACACGCGAGCGCGATGTTATCCCTTAGCGGCGGCCCTCGGTGTAACTCGGGTTAACACGAAAGGGCGACGGCGGCGCTCGCGGGCAAAATTAACGAGAGCGAGCTCTCCAAGGTGCTACTAACGCCGCGCGTGCTCTCCTCTCTTTTTCGTTCAACTACGGCGACGACGACAATGACGACGTTCCGTGTCGTCGTCGATATTCGATCGACAGGCCGACCAGCGGCAGACACGACCGATCGATCCGTTCGCTCTTACGTAATGTGCAGAACTAAAACGCTGCTATCTTCTCTCTCTCTCTCTCTCTCTCTCTCTCTCTCTCGTTCTCTCTGTTTTACTTTTCTTTCTTTCCGACCAGCACAATCGCACGTACTTGCAACTTCTCGCGAGAAACAACGCGGGTGTAGAATTCGTAGGATGAGAACAGGTGTGTGGCCTATTCTACTCCGCGGAGTATTTCAATCCAAAGCCAAATCGCAACGCGCAGCGCGGTGCAACGTAACGCAACGCACTCGCGATGCGCGCGAGTTAATCTTGCTTTGTCTCTCGCGAAGTTTCATTTCAGGAACTCATTTGATCCCGCTGTTATCGAATTTTTCCACTTTTAACCAGACAGTAAATTAAATCCGTCCCTTCCGCAAAACCCTCTGTGCGTTACGTCCGCGTTACCACCGCGCGATACCTCTTTTCTCGTCTTCGCTTGTGCTTATTTTTTGCATTTATTATCTCGGTCTCCTCTTTTTACACGCGTTTAATCTCGCCCCTGCGACTGTTAGTATGCAGTCTTTGGCGTCGACGGAAGGCTCATTTCGAATCCCGTGGTGCGGTAAGACGCGGGGAGGCGACGAGGCAACAATCCGTTCCCCGGCAAAATAAATAACGCGTCCATTTTTTTTTCCCTCTGTCTCTCTTTTCCTTCCCTCTGGCTCTCCTCCGCCGATTGCCGAGACACCGCGACGGTGAACGCGCGCCATACTTATGCTGCTCGCAGTATATTTACCCGCGGCTCGTAAAGCAGAGAAGAAGGCAGTTTTTCAGACCGATATGTCGGCCGGCGTTTTAGAGAGGAAGGAAGGAAGAGAGAGAGAGAGAGAGAGAGAGAGAGAGAGAGAGAGAGAGAGGTAAACTCCTTTACGGGAAAGTGTCTCCGATAGTAACGACCACTAAAAAGCGACCGCGCCACTTCGCCACGTACAGTTGCTTCTGACGGAGCCCGGTGCGCGCAGGGGCTTACTCTCCTCTCGCGCTCTCTAGCATTCCTCCGGAGCATACACTGCTTTTGCACGTGTGTCTACTCGAGACAACGTGCCTTCCACTGGCCTTCCACTCGGAAATGGAAGGCCTCTCGTGCCGTCTACAGGGAGACAGGAAGAGACGGGGAGTATGATCCGCGAGGGGGGGTTCTCGCTCTCTCGCAGACTCGCGTCGTGGATCTTCTCGGGAGGGTGGCGCGTGGAGATCGTTGTCTTCGCGCGGTAATCTCCGTTCTGATACTCTTTCGCGACGAGCCGAATTACCCGGAGATCCCTCGCGCGACGCCCTCGTCAACCGCAGCGACAGTTTCGACAACTCGTGAGGTGTCGCGCCGCGCCGCGCGTCCACGTTTCCACGATTAACGCTTTTAGCTGAAGGAGACGTTGGATAGATTTCCCCCTCCCCCCTCCGCGAGCTGCGTTACGCACTGGCTCCGCAAACATAATGTACCGGCTGACGGACACGGTGATTTCCCGTCTGAATATCGAGAGATCCCCGATCTCTCGCGAGACGAGGAGCAACCAACTTAACTGCACTTCTCTCGTCGCAAAATCCGCCGGTGCCGCTATACACGCATTCGCGTCGCCCGGCTACGGTTACGATCGAAACGCGCGACGGTGAAACGCGCATGCCGTCTTTTCACCGCCTATGAATAGCAAACGTCTCCGCTGCGCCCGAGCTCCTTTCGGAGCCCGAGGCGACACGCGCGAGATTCGCGAGTGCCGAGATTCTCCCGAAGCGGAGCAGCAGGAAAGAGAGTGACGGAGTGGGAGAGAGAGAGAGAGAGCATGAGTTTTTCACGTATCCCGAATCCTCGGAGGTGCTTGCGCGAACGCGAGCGCGTCGCGGGCCTTTTCATCGCGATCCAGCGGGCTGCTTTCGGGTCCTTGCGAATGCAGTCCTCGATTTCCCGATACAGGCAGACAACTTTGCACAATCTGCGAGATTGCGTGCACGCGACAACGGCCAACTTTCCCCCTTCCCCCGAGCGGGGGGAGGGGGGTGGGGAGCGAGGCAATGCATTGCGCATAATGCACAACACCCGACAACGCGCACGTATCCACTTATCCCGTCGGCCGATCGCGCCCACCGCGTCGAGAACATAATCATCTCGCGTAATAGGCTCGGCAGAAACGACCGATAATGCTTCCGCCGATCATATCGCCGCGTCGCTTTAATTTACGCGACTCGCGACGCGCCGCCCTTCTCCGATAGTTGTTCCTCATGCATTCGCGTTCGCGTTCGCGTTCGTGTTCGCTTGCCCCGAGCCGACATTTTTCGCGGTAAAAGGAGAAAAAAAAACAGAGAGGACCGCGACCCTCTCGGCGACGAGGAGGGTCGAGTATACAGCGCGTCGAAGTCGCATCCACCGGGGGTGTTATTTCCATATGCGTTCGTATGCATACCCTTGGCCGTTTCACTCGCTCCCCCTGACGTCATTAGCCCCAGCGCCCCTCTTATACCTCCGCCTCCCCTCTCCCTCTACGGCTCCGAAAGTTCCTAATTTCCTAATTTAATACAAAGTTAATAAAGTCCCGGGACGCGCGTATTTTCCAATTACTCGGCGCGCCGTGTTACACTCGCGCGCAAACGTATTTTAGATACACGCGCCGAGCTCCGGATCGCGAATCGTGGGTGGTCTAACGAGGGAGCGCGCGAGCTCGCGAGTTGATTCGTTTAATTGAGGAAGTCCCTAGGTCGATCGTATTTTCGGATTAAGTATGGCTCGCTACGGTGTGCTCTTTTGTCGCAAACGCCGACACGAGTCCCGAGGCGTAGCGCGGAGATAAACTTTTATTATCTTGTATAACTCTGTGTCCTTTAATATTGTATAAGTTGTAGCTTTGTATATTTTATACGTGTATTTTGTATATTTTTATACATGTATCCGCGCGATACCGGCGATTTATCTTAAATTAACAAACCACCAGTCGTAATATTAATGATGGAGCAGTAATGATAAATTTGTGAGACTCATTTATTACCGATGTGCATGGATATTGGTGCAATGTATATAAAAGTATGTATATAAAATGTATATAAAAGGTGCAGCGTATATAAAAGTGCATCGTATATAATACAAGTCTGTGTTATATCCGTGAAATTGATATTTTATCGGGGACACCGGCGGAGGAGGAGGAGTTAACAAATTGTACAAATCGAATCCGGCGAGCGGATTATGCCGCATAAATGAGAGAGCGGAAGCTCCCCTCGACAAGGCTGAATGTATCACGTTTATTTGTTATCCACCGACAGTTTAGACATTTCGGAAGCTCTCGGGTGGTGCTTGTAACCACGAAGACGCGATTCATTTTTGCATCCTCTTTCTCCCTCGCTCGATCGGAAATTAATTCATTCGCGTAATCGTACCAACGTTATTCCACATATCCATAAAACAAACGGGATTACACGTTCCTCTGTGAAAACGATTATCTTAAATGCAGCAAAGATTGCGAGAAGATCAAACGTTTACACACGAGGTAGCAAATTGCAGTTCGCAGTAAAAGGGCAGCCATTAAAATATTCCACTCGGGAAGTTCGCTGATTATTAAAAAAGATTCCGAGCGAAAGTTCCAGTCTTTAACGAGCACGCGAGCAGTTTTCCAAAGACTTCATTTTACACTTCGCTCCGAGCTTTCGCCCGGTTGCGAGCTGCAGGATCTCTTCTTAGTGTTTTGCCCTATCTTCACTGTCCACCGATCGATTTTCGTATTTTTGTATAATTGCAGGTGACGAGGAGAGATGCGGTGACGTCCAGAAGTCGCTCGACCCAGAAACATACATATCGTCGACACATATATACACGTATATTTATGAGGATCGTTGAAAGGATACTTGAAAAAAGCATATCCCAGTCCCAATCCGTGATAATTACTCAGCTCCGCCCGCGCGCGCGGAGAATAAATGAAACGTGACATATCGATTGCCAAACGTATCGCTGCATCATTAAGACTCGGACGTCTGAAACGAACGCACGCCACGTACATCGCGGATCGCTGCGAAATTACTCACGCGCAATTAAATCGCGGCTCATCCTTTTCACTCGGCGCGCTCGCGTGTGTGTACGTGTGATTCATCTAATTACTTATTTATATATCCGTCTCTCTCTCTCTCTCTCTCTCTCTCTCGATCACGGTATCAACTTTCAATTACGCTAACGAGATACACGGTGACGTACGACAGCGCGCGGTCACGAGGAGTCGTCCGGTGCGCGCATCAATGACCCGCCTCTCCCTCGATCGTGACAAAAGCCCGCGAGCCCGAGTGATCCTCTCGGACGTGAAATTCGCGATCGCCCGCTCAATCGCAAGAGAGCAACGGGATCTCGCCTCTTATTAATTGGCCGTTTAATTAGCGTCCTCTCGCGATCGTCCTCTGAGAAAGGAGAGGAGGAGACCAACACGCGAGACCTGGACCCGGACCTCTCCCTCTCTTTCCCTCTCCCTCTCTCTCCCTCTGTCGACGTCACTCGACGGCTCGCGCTGCTGGCAGGACGAGGCGAGCAGGGGCGGGAGGATGTTGCTGAGGTAACACGACATTTCGAGGCCGCACGCTAGAGAAGCCACGGTAATCGCAGCGAGCGCGCGGACGAGGAGGAAGGTGTCGATCGCAGGTGCACAAAGGCCTAGGATCGAAGAGCGGCGGATAGAATGGGCTTTCCCAGGAGAAGGTCCCTCTGGCTGAAGGTGGCAGTGCTGGCGACCGCCGTGTGGCTGACCGTCTGCTTCCTGCTGTACACGGAGGACCGGGCGGCCGCCGCCGCCGTGCAGGGCTTGGCGCCGTCGGGCGTCGCGATGCCGCAGGCGGCGAACGGCTTTGTGCCGCCCGCGGCGCCCTTCAGGAAAGAGACACCCGGGGGTGCGGTCAATAGGGCGAGGATCAATCAGGCTGGGCCCGAGCAAGGTAATTTTGAGCGAGCGAGTTCTCCGGTTTCTCCTCTCGACTACTCGTGTAGCGCGTTTCGAGAGCCGAGTTTTCGCGAGCTGATCGAGCACGAACGAAGAGGATGGTGACTCGAGGCTCGAGTCGAGCGCGCAGCTCACACGAGACAGAAACGGAGAACAGCCCTCGAGCGAGCAACGACGCGTCGCGTCGCGTCGTTTGCCTTCGCATTCACGAGTGACCGATTTCGGTGGGCGTCACGGTGGGTCGCGGTGGATTTAGATGGCGGCTCGGGCATGAATCACGCGTGTGAGGAAATGGCTTAATAGGCTGACATACCGCACATGGGTTAAGCTCGAGTTAGGTCTTAATAAGCTGATAGATGTCCCTCCTGGAATGTGTATGGTCTACTCATGAATCATACCGAGAATGTCGGGTTACTTCGAGAGCCACCTGTGGCTTAACGCGCCTCGCATTTCGCGAGGGCGTTTTTCGTCTAACGACGCCGACGGAAGCGCGCTGCTCTTCGACTCGTGAGACTCGCCTCGCGGATCCTTAATTGCTCTCTCTCTCTCTCTCTCTCTCTCTCTCTCTCTCTCTCTCTCTCTCTCTCTCTCTCTCTCTCTCTCTCTGTCTCTCTTCCTCTCGCGATATCAGGTCGTCCGTTGACCGAGTCCGCTTCCAGCAATTGTCGTTTCGTTTGCCGTCGCGAAGACGACTCGCTCCGGGTCGAAGGAGAGTAATTTATTCCGCCGTGGCGAATTGGCTCTCTCATTTCCTGACGCTCGAGACACTCGAACTGTTTATACCTCCTACGTATATATGTGTCGATCACGAGACGCGAACAGCGGGGAAACAAAATCGAACCACCGCCGTGGTCGGTGCCGTCGAAGAAGGTCGCGCTGCGAACGTCGAGAAAGGCTGTACATTCGGTAGACGAGGATCCTCAAAGACGAAAGTTCGCCTGAGTACTGGTACCACAGCCGCAATAATCCGGGAACCTTTGATAGTTCAGCCAACGTGTGCGCGAACGCACGCGCATCCTCTTATTGGCAGACGCGAAGTACGAGAATAGGGCTCTCTCTCTCTCTCTCTCTCTCGTAGTACAAGGATCATCCCGGAGATATTGTCGGTGTTTCGCGCCAGCCGAGCTACGCGATATATTAACTGCTCGCTTGTCTGTAAGCGAGAATCCTCGAATGATGAGACGCAGGAGCCACCTACGCCCGTCGCGCCGTCGTCGTTTCATCTCTCGCGAAATCATAGCGTCATAGTGCGTCTCTGTACGCGCGCCCGCCCGCGAGAAATGACATGCTAATGAATTTAAACACCTCCGCGACCGCGCTCGAGCTCCAGGCTCAAACATCACAGGCCCGACGTTACCAGTGACGAAAGAGACTCGCTCTCTCGCCTCGTCGGCGCGCCCCCAAGCGCGATCTCTCCCCCAAGAGAAGCGCGCCGCGTGTAGTCCAGGGCGCGGCGCGTGATGCACGACACGAGTTTCGCCGCCGAACTTCGTGGCGAGCCGGGGTCGCGGCACTAAAGCAATTTGTCGTCCTCTTTATTGCCGCATCGTACACACCGGGGCCCAACTTTGTCGAGCGGGATAAAATTATTTTCAGGACAAGCGGGCGAACACGCCAGCCAGCCAGCCATATCGCGCAGCGTACTTACCTCGTTGGCTTTAGCAGCTATGCTCCGGCAATATGGCGCCGGCAAATAAAACCGGAGTTTATGCGAGAAAGCTCTTAGAAGGTATACCCGGACGCGGCGCGCGCGGTATGCCCGGCGGATGTGGATGTGCTGAAAATTCAATTCCCGATACCCTTTTTCCATCGCGCAGTGCTGCAGCCCGCCGCGCCGCGCCGCGTCGCGCCGCGTCGTGCCGCGTCGTCGCCATTGATTCGTTCCTCGTCGGACGTTAAGCGCGGGCCGCGGCTCTTACGACTGTGCCGTGTGGGATGACAAAAGGACAGGTAAATTGAGCTGGACTGAAACGCGGGACACGATCGCATGCGGCAATATGGCAAATTCGTCATGAGTCGTAACGGTTATGTTCGACTTTCGGCTTGGCCGTTGCACGCGGCAGGTTTCTGCGGGACTCGGATATAGGTTAGGTTGCGTTAGATTAAATTAGTACGACCGTATTCAATACGCGATGAATCTCAGTTTCGAGTCGTTGTCGAGTTAAAACAATCGACTCAACTAATCCTCGCAATCTAGAAAGCAATCCCTTTGATCTAACCTTTTAACATGTACGGAAAAGTTTGGTTTTTTAAATATTCGGGAAAAATTGGCCTAAGAAACTCCCGGATTGTAAGGACTAAAATGTGTGTATACATTGGAGATGATGAAGCTAAAAGTAATGTTAATGACGGCGAGTGCGGCGAAACGAAGTAATTACGACAAACCGCGGTGAATGTTGAACAAACGAGCAAGATTCCGCGCCGGTCAGTCGGCAGAGTCACCTCTTGCGACATTGCTCAGCCGCGATCTTCTTGACGGTCCAGGTGGTGGAGTGCTGGCCGCGCCACGGGAGCCGGACGCCGCCGCGCCGGGCGAGATGGGCAGACCCGTGATCCTGCCGACCAACATGTCCGCGCAGACGAAGAAACTGGTGGACGACGGCTGGCTGAACAACGCGTTCAATCAGTACGCCAGCGACCTCATCTCCGTGCACAGGTCCTTGCCGGATCCACGCGACCAATGGTAAGTTCAGCTTCATCCGCTTACTTGTAATTTAAGCGCGCAGCCGCTCGTCAGATTTCACCATTCGTTAGCCATTTAATCCCGTCGTCGACTCCGTCGTTCCTCTCCGGAGGAGGAGGAAAGCACCTTGCCGAGGACGTTTTATCGCGAGAAACGGTCGACGTACCCGCCGCAAATTGTCACGTAAAAGACACGCGTTTCCGCGCGGCGTCTCTCTCTCTCTCTCTCTCTCTCTCTCTCTCTCTCTCTCTGGCTGTTTTATTACATTCGCGGATGCAATCCTCCTTCATCAGCACGACATATTCCCGGCGCACAGGACGAAACGACTGAAAGAGAACGGAAGAGAGAGAGAGAGAGAGAGAGAGAGAGAGAGAGAGAGAGAGAGAATGAGAGAAAGAGATGTAGCAGATGTATATACGCAGAGTGCACGTAAAAAACCTTATGCACGTTCAAATGTAACGAAACATCTCCGGGTCTCGCGTTATACCCGTTCGCAAGGAGGATACGTTGGTCCCCTGAGGGGACAAGGGGACACGAAGAGTAACGGCGAGCGAGGAGCGTTTCGCCGATCGTGGTAGATAGACCGGCGCGGTAATGCGTCGGAGAATCGTAGCCGTAAATGTCCCACGCCATTTTCTTTTACTGCGAATGCTGGCATCATAACGCGGTCGTTGATAAAACACCGGCGGGTCAGAGGTCGTGACGGTGCCGAGCTCCGGCTATCTCTCCGCGAGCCCACTCTCTCTTCCACTCTGATGCCTCTCTCTGCGGCCGGCTTTCGCGGGAACGGCCATCGCCGTCGTCCCTGCGGAGTCCGGTCGACAACATGCAGAAACGAATCGCGTAAGAAACGGTAACCGCGTTATGGATACTTTCGCCGGCCGGAGCTTCCCTTTGCGAACGCACGTGCCGACGAAAAATCCGCCGTGCGGTACCGCGACCTGCGGCTCCTCGCAGAATGCGCTCGCGAGACGGCGGCGGCCGTCACCGCCGCGACGCTTCGTATCGTCGAATCGCTCTCCTAATCGCCCGACTTGCGTGCTCGTAATTTATCGACTGCTTTCTCGCGCGAGATGTTTCCCAAGGTTTATTAAACTGAACGCCGTAGAAACGAAAGAGGGGATGACCCAAATTCCACGAGTGCATTTTTCGACTCCGCGCGCATTAACGCCGCAAATTTCGTCGAACTTGAGGAACCAATGGGGAATCCCGAGCCTGCGCAACACTGTACAGGCTGTTGCCGTTTGACGTTAGAAAAATTATTCATCGGTCATTTCTTATCGTTTAACGTGAGATCTCGATAAAAGGGGGCTTGTGTAAAAATTATTTGTAACATACTCGATCATCCGCATTTTTTAATTTTCCGGGTTTTTCTTCGCTTCGATATACGGTATCGATTAATCTAATCATGCGACTTACTCAACCACAGCGATGAATGTGAAATAATCCGATTAGCGTGTAAGTAAATGGAGAAAAAGAAAAGAACAAAAATTTGCTTCTTCTGCAATCTCTTATTATATTTTTTATCAGAGTTGGAAATTTCTATAAAACTCGAAGGTTCAAAGCAGATGAGAAAGAAAGAATTGTAGGTTTCGTTTCCGAATGCAATCTCGGTCGCTGCTTTCTGTATCCTGCATTCCGTCCTGGCATCAGCTCCTGCTCGTTATTCGTGGCCAGGTATTCAACGATGTCACATGAAGGTACGATTCTATCGCGAAAACGCGACGTTGATTAATTATCACGGCGACGGAACCAACGAAAATCGTCGAATATTTCGAGAGCGACGCTCTCGATGCTACGTATCGCGCGTGTGCGGCCGTTTTCTAATTAATCAATAATTAATAATTTAATAATTTGACACCTGGAAATGTTCGAACGTGGTCATATTGCGTGGTGATTTTTTGATCATCGTATTCGCGCGCCTCACCGGTGGAGGGGATTAATGGCTGGCGACCGACGCGCGATAACTTTGCCCCACCTTGCCGCTGCCGATTGTTTGTTGATAGTCGCGCGCGCGCGTGTGTACTTGTCGCGACCGCGTTCATTGTGTTTCGAGCCGACGAGCGATGTTGTACGTATCGCGTCGCGAAGCGGGTGTGTCAGTGAATTTTCTCGTCGGTTGATTAAGATACACCGGGGGGGAGCCTTGAAATATTTAATCGAGCCGCTCGTCGGCGTCGCGCTACCTCGCACACGTTTTTCCGATCGAATTGTACGTACGTGAGTGTCAATGCCGGTGATTGTCCTGTGGCACGGAGCAGCCAGGAGCAGAATGCTGAGTCGCCAAGTCAAGGCGAAGGATACAGAGAACAGAGAATGCACCAGGACGTGGACGCGGCGATGTATTTCCAAGTAAGTCGTGTTATTTATTACCGAGAACGTTTCCGAGAGAGAGAAAGAGCGAGAGAGCGAGAGAGCGGGAGATGTGTTATAAAGCGTTCGATGAACTCGCCGAGAATAACAAAACGCCCGAGTCGAAGTTTAGAATGTACATGAAATATAAGGCCGGCGTTTATTTCCGATTTGACAGCAGATAATTATAATCTTATGAGTCTTCGATTATCCGTCAAAGTGTATATACTTCACCCGACCAAAGAGCATTGATTTAAATAATTGGGTAACGGCCCACACACACACACATGCTCACAATGAACGATTATACTTGTAATTTACAAGTGACAAATATCAGCCAAAGTCAATTACTCTGTACAAAATACTCAAACTATTTTCACAACTCCTTCTTTTTCAATACTAAGATGTAATAGCCTGTACTTAGTGGTCTATTTCAAAAGTCTCTCTATTGGATTCTTGAAGAGAACGATTATGTGTACATATGTTTGCAGAAATAATGTGGAATCAAAATTTTAACTCGGATCTCCTCGAGAGCTTCATTCGAAACATCAATTGCTTAACTAACTTAATTGCTAAAACTAGTCAATATAATTAGCCGCTATTTTTCGTCGCTTTATTTAACTATACATAGCGCTTTATTTAACTATACATAGCACTGCGTTACCAAAGAGCGTCTTTCTATTTTATCCCGAAAGAATCAAACCAAATGCACGAGTCTATTTTTAATACAGACGTGTGTATAATTTCACCACGCGATTGAAACTACCCCCTTGCCGCTCCCCTCATCGTGATTTATTTCCGCGGAATTGCGCGACCGGTATCGAAAATGCGCACCTGTTAATAAAGGCTTAGTGAAACGTCGATGTCTCACGTACACACGCGCACATACGTACACCGCGAACGATCGGAGATTATTTTTCTGTGTTCTTGCATCATCTTTCGTTCCTCCTCCTCGTTGTTTTATTCTTTTGCTCTCTCTCTCTCTCTCTCTCTCTCTCTCTCTCTCTCTCTCTCTCTCTCTCTCTCTCTCTCTCTCCCCCCCCCCCCTTCTCTCTCTCCTTCTCTCGTCGACCGAACCAAAGTTCAATCTATTCGGCGCAACGCACACGAATTACGAGGGATATTAAAATCGGCTTTTGTGTACGGGCGTACAGGTTCAGCCAAAGCGCAAGTGCTCTCGCTCGTTCCCTCCTTCCCTCCTTTTCTACCCCCTGCCCTCTTCCTCTTCCGCCTTAGGTAAAATATGCAACGGCGCGTTGCGCGCGCGCGCACGCGCGAGGAGCGTTTCTGGAGTAATATTATGACGCAATGCCTCATGTAATTTGCATCGCGCCATTATTTTAATTACTGCACTGAAGTTAAACGCGCCGCTATTATATGTAAACATTTTCCTCGAACGAAGAAGAACCGCCTCGTTGAGGTGTGCACGTATATACACACGCGCTATATGTGCGCCGCCCGAGCTATGCTAATGACTCGCTATTCCGAATTCTTGTTAACGTTGCAAATTATTTTCCGTCTAGGTCGCAAATGCAATTTCACGGGGAGCGTCCGTGGCTTGCTCGCTCGCTCGCTCGCTCGCTCGCTCGCTCGTCCGCCAGCGCCGCGAAGCACTACGGTACGTGTTACGCGTTGTTTAATTAATTGCACTGTGCCTAATTTGTTGCGCCGGGGTGACCGTAACAGTCTACGGCGAAAAGAGCGAGCGACGTAGCTGGTTCGGAAATTTAATCATCGGAGAACGTGTTCCCGTTCGGAAATTAATACAATGCCGCCCCGCCCTACCCTCTCCCCTCTCCCCTCTCCCCGTCTACGTTCTTACGTCATAACGGGAATTCTGAGGTTCCTCTCTCGGGACGTTTTAATTATATTTCATCGAGCACAGCGCGCTTTCTCCCTCTTCCACCCTTTTCCCTTCCAGTGTACACTCGATATTTCTATTTCTCGGGCACGGACACGGCGTTCGGCGGAATTCAAATGCGATCGTCTCGTAATATCGAGAAACGCCTTCCCCCGTCCATTAGCAGCCATTATCGGGCCAGCTCGCGTATCTCATCGAGATTATTATGTAAATATCGCACGTGTGTCTTTACACATGTCCGTGGCAATTTTTCGGGATAGGTATCTCCATCATAGTTTGCGGCGACAGCCGAATGCCGCTCGAGCGGCTCCTCCTAATTATGCAAATTACTCGAAACAATTGATCGATAACACCGCCGCGATTCGTCTCGCAGCCTGATTTATCAGAGCGAAAACTAGCTAACGGCCGTGGGACAGGGCCGTAGTTGCGCAACCAGGAGCTGCGGCGCGTCCGAAATATGTGTCGCGGTGACCGTAAATTTTCGCTAAAACTTCGTCCCCGACGGCGGCGGCGGCGGCGATGGCGGCGTCGGGCCGACCGCGGCGGCGAATTAACCCCATGAATATTAATTACAATTTACATGATATTAACCGACATTATCAGGACAGGTGGGCAAACTTCGCGGGTGTGTGCCTGTTGTTACTGACGCGCCGAGTCGCGTCCGTAACTAACGACTCGGATAAAGGTGCCGTACACACCGGTGGCGGCGCAGGTGTCTAGTGTAGAATCGCGTGTGCTTCCTCGGCCTCTCGCGAACAGGTGTCCCTGATTTAGGGCCACGGGAAGG